AGCCCCCACCGCAGGCACAAGTGCCAGCGCCCAGGCCCTGGCGGCCTCATCCCTCGCCCCACAGGCCTGAGGGAGCGGCTGGGTGCTTCTACCACCGCTTACAAGGTGATTCTGATCTAACAACACTGTTTTGAAATAGTATAAAACACCGGTGCCATTACAGTGGATGAGCTCAGGTAAGCAGGCTGTCCCAGGACCAAGCACCACTTCTTCAGGGCTGCTGGACCCTCTCACCAAGGCTCTGGGCCCAGCAGGGGGGACAGGAAGCTCTGGAAAGGGTTTGTTTATTCACTCAGAGAACACTGTACAAATATTACAGCAATTTTCTTTCCTTGCAAAAAGTATAAAAATAATCTTTATATATGAATCCAAGTTCATTTGTTACTGTAAAGTTTCTCTAGATATCTTTTCCAAACTTCGTCTAACTGATGGCAAACATTAACACTTTGAAGGAGAGCACAGGTCAGGCAGTACACTGAGAGCTCTAGCTACACAAAAGCCATGGAGCCTAGCTAACGCATATGGAGGACCAACAGTTTTCAGGTAGCTTCCATGCAAAAGGAGAGAAGGTTTACAAACTGGTGCATGCAGACTGAATTCACTGCCCTCATGGGGTCCCACGTGATCTCTGTCTCTTCAGCACTAGCTGCCCACTGCTGGCAGCTGAACTAGAAAATGCCCAGTATTGTCTGTTCCTACTGAATTCCTCACACTGTTCTGAAGAGGATGCCGGTACTTCACAGCAAAACTCAGCCACCATGAGCTTCCCAAGCTGCAGAAAGGAACGGCTCTTCTGGAGGAGTCCCACAAAAAATATGACAGCACACAGAACCAGAGCAGGAACACAAGTCCCAAGCATACGCTCTCCTCACTTCTGTAAGCTCCAATAATTGAAGGCTTTACATCCCTTACTGCTGGTGCCCCAGCCAGGGCTGGTTTTGTGGTTCACATACGGTAGGCAGCTGAGCAGAGAAGTAAAACATCAACTGGTTACGTGGATGGCTGAGAGCTACCTCTCTGCAATAGCAAGCCATGCTTCCTGGCCCAGCCACCTCTCTGGCAGTTTGCTGAGCAGGAAGGACATGACAGCTGCTACCACTGCAATGGCAGGAAGATGTACAAAACTAAGACATTCAAATACAGGATCTGCCCAAAGACCTAAGCTGAGGGTTGCAAAACACAACACAAACCCATGAGGGCTTTTTACTTCAACAACTAAAATACATGGGATCCAAGACAGGTATCACCTGATCACCATAAAGACCCTACAGCAGACCTTCCATTACAAAACAATGAAGAAAAGCTTGCAAAAAATGATGCAGAAAAAGCATCATGCTAGGTAGCAACCTGCCACAGGATCAGAAATCGGGAGCATGGGTATGGACACTGGAAGAGCAAATTCAAACATACAGAAAGTCTGATCCTGAGCAGATGCTAAGAGAATAAAAGGGGGAAAAAAACCCTACTGTCTATTCCGACAACACCTATGTAACTTGTCACAGCAAAGTACTACTGAATCGTTACTGTCTGGTGGCCTTTTAGACAGCTGAAGGCTCAAGTGCAATGGTTGGAGAATATAGCTATTTGCAAATGCGAGCAGGCTCTGATGTACCTAGAGTACCTTACAGACAACAGCTGAAGCAGTCTGTCCTTTCAAACATCTCTCCTCTCAGGAGAGAGGAAAAAAAAAAAAAAAAACTCTCAAAGGCCACGTACCCCTCAGAAGAAAGCTCTACTTAGAGCACAGTTGGATCTAAGTGCAAACAAATGCTTTTCCAATGCCTTCACCAAAACCAGCCCTCCTTTTAGAGGCAAGCATTACACAGAGCTGTGAAATGGGCAGTTTCTCCTCTTCCTGCTACAGGGGCAGCAGTGACGCCCCCCAAGATTCACCAAAGGAAGGCTGAATATTCAGATAACGAGTAGTGGAAAACAGACTTTCACCTCTGGGTCACCAGCTCAAACAACAGGAGCTGTGGAAAATTGGCTGCATCAGTCTCGGAAAGGCTGTGTAAGTGACCCTTCATTGAATTAATTGGGACATGGGGGAGAAGCGTACTAGTACTCGTGGCACTGAAATCCTCACCACACTTGTCCCACGTGGCTCATGTGCTGACAGTTCAGGACTGGACAGGCCAAGGGGGGCTCCTGGTTCCCACACGTGGAGTGGGACTCTAGCTAACTACCTCCGGGCTTGTGAACCGACCACAATACAAAGGCTCCTTGTAGCAGCTGGTACCTAGGAGGTGCAAAGTGCATCTAGGGTTGCAGGAAATCCAAGGCATGCAGATCTGAGGAAACTTGGAGGCACATGGGCAAACTCTACAGCTGAACTGGGAACACTCAAACACAGACTCTTTGAAGTGAGGCCCAGAATCCAATGGAGAGACAGAGATGCAGCAGAACAAATTAAGTCAAAAGACCTTGCATGTGCAACACGGAGAGAAAGAAGCTACAGGGAGGCTCCCGGCCTGCAAGTCCACATCTCTTGGTTTTGAGTCCATATGAGAGCATCTCTGAATCGCTCACTCATCGAGCTCTAGCACAAAAGGAATCCAAAAATAGATACTTTCCAAAGAGTTACAAAATGGTCTGTCTTTGCGAGGCTCACAGCCGCACTGAAAAGTCAGAGGTTGAGGACAGGCACGTCAAAGAGGTCACAGACGCCTTCGCTCTCATCCAGGTTATAGATGTAGTCATGATCTCCAGGAGGAGGGGAGAGGCGGAGCAATGGGGCAAACACTGGGAAAGAGAAACTCAGGGTTACAAAGTTCAGCACTTCTGCACCTAGCCAAGAGTTGCTAAGGGGAACAGAGTTGTGGGAGCTCCTTATGATACAGGGAGGCCACCTCACAGTAACATTTCTTTGAGTTTTCTCTGAATCAGCCTTGCAATGTTGAAGAGGCAAGCTCCTTCAGTCCTCACTCATCTCTCAGGGGCTGGCAGGACAGTAAGAACCGAGTCCACGTCCAGAGCCCGGAAAAGATGAGTGAGCCTGCAAGCACAAGGCTGACAGCCTGGGTAAAGTCACACAAGACTGTCTTCCTTCCCCAGAGAGCCTGTAGCATGAGGTTGAAACTCAGACTTACCTTCAGATGACATCAGCTCTTCCAGTAGCTCAGAGTTCATACATTCTGGGGAGAGATGAGTGTGGTAAGCAATTCACTTTACTTCCCTGGTCAGTGCCTGTGTTGTTTCCCACCCTTCCCAGCCTCTCCTGGTCCTCACCCTTATTATCCTTTCTTTGGCTAAGGGAGGGCAGCAGGTAAGAGTACATGCAGGCTGTGGCAAAAGGAAGCTTGGGCCTCCTGGCATGGTAAAGGGAAATCTGTGTCAGAAAATTCAAGCAACGTCAAAAAATCCTGCAGATTTCTGCCTGGTTAGCTCAACCATAAGCCAATTTTTTCACATGATGGGCTATGCTTTATCCCTACATTGTTGTGCTAGCTGATGCACAAACAGAACTCGCCCTCCTTCCAGAAATGCCCCCAAACTCATCCAAAGGAAGCTCTTCAAAAGGCACCTGAAGTTGAAGTGGTAAAGCCAGACACATTAACAGTCCTCAGATACCCACTGGCTTAGATAAAGTGGAGGGGGAAAAACAAAACAAAACAAAAAAGTTGCTCTATAAGCAGCAGAACTAATTAATCTCCACTTTCCTCCAGATTTGTATGCTTTGTAAATCCTCCAGATTTGTCCCCCTAATTTTCTTCCTGTGCCCAACAGCTGAGATGCGGCTAACTCAGCAATACATACAGGCAGATTTTCTGACTTTCTGCTGCCAAACAGAATGAACATCCAAGCTCTGCATATCCCTCCTTCAGCGGGCCATTAACTCTGCTCCCCCCTCTACTGCCCACACAAAATTATTAAAAATTTAATTATGTCTGAAAGGTCATCCCTTCCTCCAGCGCAGTTGATCTTGGCTAGTAGGTTCATGAGGCACTTGAGGGGTAAACAGACAGGCAGCCAAAGCATGCCCAAATCAGTCTCTTCTCTAAGAAACTATGCATTTGAAAATAAGTTTCTCAGTAGCCCTCTCACTTAACCAAGATAAAATAATGAAGAACTAACGCAATCTAACTGGACTCATGAGATGCTACCTACATTTGAAATGAGCTTTCATGAAAGAAACTCAAATGATCCCATTTTCAAGATGCTTATCCACAACAGGCTATTTTCCTAGAGGACAAGAACCTACCTACCTAATTTGGTGCTGTGAAAAGGGAGAATTTCAACGCCAAGTGAATTGATGGAAATAATACCAGCTTCAAAAAATAGAAATTAAATACAGAACCTTGATCTTCTTCAGGACTAGTAAGATAGTAGCATGTGTATATGTGTGAAATTCTGCCTTTTCCAGGACAGGAAGAACTCTGGGCTCTCACTGCTTCAACTGCAGAGCCTTAAAGCAGCAGATAGTGCCAGGGCAATATTACTACAATCACACAGGGATGAAAGAGGATGCATGAAGTACACTACAAAGCCCATTTCCCTGAGCTCTGGAGTGTTGCTTTTTTCTAGTCCTGCACTTTGCTGCTGTAGCTGCCACCTCTATTTTGCAGACTGCAGTTTCCATGGGCAATTCAAAAGAAGATCACTGTTAAAAATCTCACATTGCCATTTGTATTTTCCTTCACTCCGAGATCTCTGCCTTTCCCTTCCACATTGGCAGGAATAATCCATAAAACAAGATAAACATACCTTAATGTAAGCAGTAAATATCACTTTTTTAATAGTGTTCATATGGTCACATAGTACAGACAGTTAGGGTTAAGCTAGCTCTTTTCCACGTGCTAGAGCCTTGCAATTTGCAAAGAGTCCAATTTACTCTTTGGATGCATTTAATCATTACCACGACCTCATCCGCTGTCTACGGCAGCAGGTGCTCTGAGCACTGGGCTGAGCATGGATGAAAGTTATTCTCCAGGCCTCCCCTGAAGCCTGTCCCAGGGCTCCCAGCACACATATCAGAGGGTTGTGCAGATGGCATTTGGGATTGTGGGTTTTTTAAAACATGGGCAACACTTTCACAAAGCACCTGCTAGGGACTCCAGGGAACACTTCTAACAAATCTTCTCACCACTACAAAGTGCCGGTGGGTACTCAGCTCTGCATAACTTCAGGGCTAGAAAGTACTATGCAAAATTCAAAGAGCAAATCAGTAGTCCAAATGTGCAAATTTAGAAGAAAAAAAAGAGAGAGAAATGTTTCCCAATTCAGGCTTGTATTAGAATAACTTCCTTCACCTCTTCTACTCTTAGCACTGAAGTCTGTTCTACCATTAGGCAGTGACTCTCAGACGTTCCGTGGACCAAGGCAGAACACCTAACATATTTATCAGCATCCTCTCCGTTATCACTCCCAAATTACTAGCACCACCAAAACCACTAAGGGATACTTCAAGGAGAGGAGACTAACTCCCTAGATTATTTGCTTGGGTTAGCTTTGGGAAGGTTACAGTTGAAACAAGACTAACAGGGATTTTTCTTGTAACTCTAGATGGTGCAGACAAATCGGAGAAGGAACATGTGAGGCCAGAGTATAGATTAGCAGGGGCTTGAGGGCTGGAAAGCCCTCATCTACGCACCGTAGGGCAAATTCTACAGAGGAGGTTGTTGGCAAAAGGAAGACAGAGAGATACATGCAGAAAACAGTAATGTTAAGAGTGTCCATCTACAAGCAAGAGAGCCAGCAGCCACCACTGACCACAAGCACCTTGCAAAACCACATCCCCAAACAATCCAAAAGGAAGTGAATAAAGTCAACTGTCCTGCTTCTGCAGGTAGGTAGGCTCAGAACAAGGCCATAGTTAGGGAAGGAACATACCTCTCGTTGGATCAAACATCTCCGACAGCTCTTTGGGAAGCTCCAGTACTGAAATACAACAAACCAAACCGTTCGCATCATTACATGAAGAGCCTGACATGCTTTACAGCATAATCACCTATAGTCCTGCTATACTCTCAATTCCTTACGCACCCAAATTGGCCTGTACCATCCAAAAGTTCTGCTTCCATGCACGGTGTCAATTATATCTGCTCAAACGATCAATAAATGCAATAAAAAAGCTTGACCACTTTAAAATATAACTGTAGGAGCCCTAGAACATGAACACAGGCAGCGGCTCTAGAGTAACTGCCCATATGCAAGCCTCATGCAGCCTCAGCTTCCATACACCTTGATTTATCTTGTGTAGGATGAGGGCATGCCCCTAGATAGTCACTACAGATGCACATACACCTTACTGTATCCCAGTGGGTAATTCCACAATCAAGATTACTCCAAGATGAAGACAGGCTGTCAGAAGTGTGAAGAAAGCACTGTATAGCTACATTTGGGCAAGATTCTCTCTTCTAACCATAACTTTCTAACCCTGTGTTTCCGCAGTGAAGGTAGGCTCCACAGCATCAAAGCACACTGCCTAACCCAGAGGATGCTTCTCTCTGCTTTGGCCAGCCTTCCATAAAGCCTAAACCTTCCTCATTTAAAGCCCACTTCACCTCACCAAGCACATCAGGAAGCTGCCCAAATTTACACTGTGAGATCATTAAGACTGCAACATCACTAAAGATAGATGAAGCATTCCTGAGTAAAGCAACAAAACAGAGACATAAGCTCTGCCAGTAAGGGAAAACTTCCTGTGGGTTACAAAGGTGCTCCTGGTGAAGGCTGGAAACTCTACAGCTTTACACAGTCTCAAAACTTGGACTTCACACTAGAGAAGAGGTTGAAAGGGAATAATCCTGCATATAACAGCAGAGACACGTGTCATGCAAGTGCTCCCTGCAGGTATTCTAGTTCTGTACCGTTCTTTAGTACCCTCACACAGGCAGCTCCTTCTCACAGGGAGATGCCTTTTCATCCCTTGCAGAGTCCGCCGGACAGCAAGGACGGACTGGAGTTCCGCTTGTTTCTGCAGAGCCAGCAGCCTTTCCCTCACTCACAGCAGCATGCTCTTGGAGCAACAAACAAAATGAGGGTGCATACTCACCTCCTGTGGGATCCGGCTTGATCGGCTCAAAGGAGGTAGAGGGATTGGGTAGGACGGAGCCACTGTCCAGTGAGGCAGAAGACTGTAGTGGCTGGGTATCTAACTCAGCTGGCTGGCTGGCCAGTGCAGACATAGAGTCAAGAGGGTCAAAGTCACCACTGTTTTTGGACTCTGCCACTGAGACACTGCATTCTGGAAAAAGTTATAGACGCACACAAATGTAACCTCCGAGAGATATGCCCTGCCAGCCCCAAAGCAAGCAACCACAGCACAGACCAAACTCTCATGGGCAATGCTGACCAAGCAGACAGCTGCATGGCAAGAGGAAGAAGGCTTTTTGCTTTCTCCCAGCAGGAACTCCCAGGTCCTGCAGCAACTCTGCTGAAGAGCAGTCTTCGTGGTGCCAGAGCGCATATGAACCAAGAGCACACTCTCACAGCAATTAATGCAAGTCACATGTCACTCTACACTAGGAGAAGCATGGCTGGCAGATCAAGGGAAGTTATTATCCTCCCGCTTGGGGAGGAGACTGCACTCGGAACCCTGTGTCCAGCTTCAGCCACCCCCCATTTCAAGAAGGCCATCAGAAGATCCCACTGAGGGCTGCTAGAATGGCTGGAGTTTGAGGCACATGGCCTACAATGAAGGGTAAAGGCAACTGGGCTTACAGAGTCTGGCAAATAAGAGGCTAAGGGCAACCTCAGAGCAGCTGGAGCTGCTGAGCTTACAACTACCTGAGAGGCAGTTACAAAGAGGATGAAGCCGACTTCTCATTGGTGCCAAGTGACATCACAAGGACAACAGACACAAGTTGCAGCTTGGAAGATTCACACATCAGGATCCCATATCCGTCCTCTCACCTGCGCTAGTAGCTTTCTGTGCAGGAGGACTGTGGTCCTGAGTGCTGGTAGGTGTTGGTGTGGAGGGCTGGGTGCTGCTAGGAACAGACGCCTCCTGGAAGTGGGCAAGCAGTGGTATCTGTGGTTTTGAGGGCACAGCTGGCTGGCACTGAATGAGGTCTTCGGGGGGAGGGACAGGTAGCACTACAGGAGGGGAGCTCCAAGCATCTTTGTTTACTAAGAGGACATCAATTGGACCACTTGTGCTCTTCAGATGGATCTGATATTTCTTCTGTCCATTTATGCCCTGAAGAAGGCCAGAAGCAAAACACACAAACATACATTACTAGAACAGGAATTTTCCAAAGGCACAGCACGCTGTCCAGACAGCTCAGGACAGTTCCACAGTTCTTCTATTAGAGGTTCTCTTCCCAACTCGCAGAACTACCCTTCGCTCTAGTGCCCCTGCAATTACTTACATACTTCTGAACAACAGAGATGGCAATTACTTAAGACCTAGGGCCTTCCTTGGGCTTGCCAGTTTCTCCAACTCCATCACACCCGCTACCACCAACTCCCAGTCTGGTCAATCCAGCAACCCTCCCCACCTTCTCCCTGCCCACACATCTATCACTCACCTCAGGAATGGGAACCTCTAAACGTGTGCCTGATGGGGCTCGAATTGCAAGGAGGGTGTCTCCTGTGAAAAGAGGCTGGTCAACATCCAGTGGACACAAACTGTTCTGACGACACAGCATATGCTGACACAGGGCCCCTCCTCAAAGTCCCCTCCGCTATCTACCACAGACCCCGGGGGCATCCTCAGCCATCTGATCCCCTGCATTTCCCACAGGCCACATTGTCTTCATTTCCGTGGAGAATCGCCTCCCACCTGAGCCACTAATCACATCACACTAACGTACCAACTGCTAACAGCACAAACAACCTGCAAAGTTTCTCCCAAAGCAACTGTAAAGGAAAAAAAAAAAAAAATCAAGCATTTTAGCAGCATCCTTAGCAGGACTCCCCTCAGAGGACACACTGGGGCTAGGCTTAAATTCACTCTAAGAACAGCCTGGACCCCAAGGAAGGATCCTTTATCCTGTTGTCACAAGTTTCTGATTGATTGAACTGTGAACAAAACAGCATACAACTCACAGAGCTGCACTGCCAGAGAGGAAATAGTGTAGTTCAAGAGACAGGAGGCTAACAGCACAGTGACCTCATGCTGGAGGACCAATACCCAAATACAACACTTCCTGGTCTGCACTGGCAAGAGAGCTGCCTGGTTCTAGTTATAGTAGGACCATGCACAGAGCTCTGCAAACACTGGGCTGGGAGCCAGGCTGACAGCATCTTTCATTTTCAAATTCCACAGCTCCTTAAGATCTGCATCCTTAATAATATAACACAGAAGAAAAACCTCCCCTCCACACTGGGGTTTACATTTAAAAAGGGAAATATCAACAAAGAAATACCAGTGCCATGGACATTAGTCATATTTAGGCTGAGCAGTTAGCAGCTTTCACTTTGAACATGTAAGCTTTTGTGTGGTTTGCATTCACGTCTTTACACTTCACTGGTATTTTGCATTAAACTTGATCATTAACACAGAAGATCCGCAGAGCAATGAGAGAGAACAGACAGCAGAACACATCCTTTAATTTCAGGCAGGAAATCAAAGGTCAGAGCAACAGAAGATACAAGGATTAAAAACAAAATAATTTCACAGTAAGATGGGATTCCTTTAACAAGTCAGTGCTTAAAAAAATGTTAAAAGCCATTAAAAATGTGTAATAAAGTTCAAAGATACAAGCTCAAGCTTCAAGACCTGCTAGTTTCAACAGTACAGGCATTGCGTTTCTATTGTCCTTTATAGCCAAGTCTCAAATAATTTTACAAAACGAGGAACGCACGCTTCCCAATTCCTCTGTGATTCTGCAAGTGCAAAAATATATTACAGTAACAGATAGGAAAACTATGTTTCCCAGGCACTAAAAAATTAACACATCCTTACTACTTTATCCAAATAATGAATACATATTTGAGAAAAGGCCAAGCATGGAAACCTTCAAGCCATAACTCACTCTGAGAAAGCGAATTCAATAGCAGTCAATTGCAAAAAAGAGAGATGAAATTCAGCTTTCTCACAATTCAAGGACACATGAGGTCCAACAAAAAACCGCTGCAAGGAGGTTCAGATACCCCATAAGTCAGTCGTATACCCAATAACTCTCATGTTCATACAACCAAAGCTACCCAGTAAGTCATATATTCATACAGCGAAACGAGGCACACGCTCATCAGCCAAGAAGAAAACCTGGATCAAGCCACTGTTCTAGAAGGAATTCAGATCTGCTCTCAGTAAGATCTGACTTGCTCTGCACATTTTGGTGAGATCTGGCTTCAGATGTAAACTGCCTTAGAAAAACAGGTGCAATAAAATGCAAAACACTCAATCAACCAAGCAATAGTCTGTCTGCGGGTCTCCAATAAACTCTTCCAGTCTGTTACAAATTACCTAGCCCCAAGCACTGTCGAACTGAAAACACAATACCTGTCCCAAAAAAGTGCCAACTTAAACCACAAGAAACAGTAAAGCAAGGGGTGGCATGCACAAGTTACTAGCAGGAACCTGAGCAAAATAAAGTCTGGAAAACAAGGAAAGCACACAAAGGCAAAGAAAAATAGAAGAACTAACAGAGAGCAGGGTGAGAAAACAGCCCTGGAAGAGATGAAGAGAGAGTCAGACAAGGGTGAGATTACGCATGGCTGGGGCAAGCAGGGTAAGTAGCTTTAATCTCATATGCTGTGATGCAAGCAACCAGATGCAGGTTGCAGAGGGTCAGGAGAGGGCAGGTGTTCACTGAAGCAGAAAGGAGCTGCAGCTCCACACCACCACTGCTAGGAAGAACAGTTCATGTATGACAGGCTGACATACTGCACATTGGCCATGGGGAATTTTTTTTTTTTTTTTTCGGTCCTGCTCTGCTCTTTACTACCTCCTCTTCACACTCTTGTTGGGAGAAGACAGGATGCAGCAGAGAAACACACTTCTTCCATTATTCTTCTGCTTACGCCCAGATTTCTACCTTACAGTAAAACTTTGCTCTCTGTAAGAATATTATCTACCCAAGCCTTCAAAATAAAAGGTTTGTAACATGCTTGCAACATAACATATACAAAAAGAGAAGGAAGAAATGTAGAAAGAGAAGGAAATGTCATATGCAAAGGCTCTGGACAGCAAGCATCACTAGCACAGTGACACCCAGCAGCAAGATCTCCTAAGATTGCCTCAAGAATAGCTGACATACCCCTTCAAATACGAGCACAATAAAATCTCCTGCTCCCTCAGCACTCCTCTGAGGGCAATGAGAAAGCTACAGCTCAGTGGTATGCAAACGTGAGGATGGGTTCCGAACTGGTACTACATTTTCCTTGATGCTGTTTGGCAGTCCATGTTGGCACCTAAACCAAGGTCCACTGCCTTCTCTTTCCTGGGCAAAGGAGAGCAGTTGGGATAGACTGAGGGGATGAACATCTTTATTATGCAGCACTATTTCCTCACCTGTGAAGCACTTGCAGATATCTTCATGCGTCACATACGCTAATGTTTCCAGAGTTAAGGAGAAAGGCTGCAGTTTCCTGTGAAGGCAGAACTCAAAGGGCTGTTTCCTTTCCGAGCCCAAGAAATGCCATTCCTAGAAGGCTCCCCATGCCATCCTTTGAAGTGGTCTGAAGGTGAGGTCTGCAAGCTACATACTTGTCAGATCTGATATCCTAAGAGGACAGAAAAGCCGCAACAGCAGCATCACATGCAAGAAAGTGGCACCCATGACTCAAAGAGGAACAAAATTCTCATCAGCACCAACATTACAGCCCCAGGGAACTTCATGAAGCCAGACAAGACTCATGGGTGCACAACGAGCTCACTGTCTCACGCTGCTGTGTGCACTGCAGGGGAAGCTGTTTCCCATGCTGGAAAGAGTCGCTCTGCTTGCAAACAAAGGCACTGTTCCTTGACCCTTTCAGTGTAGATCCTCTAGCAACATAAGGTCACCATCCCCAACTCCCCCCCCTAAGCAAGGCCGTCTGCCAACCAAGCCCTCACATCTCTGCTTTCCAGCCCAGCAAGTTAACAAGGAGATGGAGTAATCAGTTCACACAAAGGATATCGACTGTTCTGCACGTCTTCTGTAACATTTTTGATGCTCTGTTGGACCCACATCTTCTGCTGCTCCAGCTCCTGTTCCCGCTGCTCCAAGTCTTCTATGTCTGCCTTCAGCTCAATGAGTTTGTGAGCTATTTCACGTGTGTTGCAGCCAGGACCCACCCCTCTGTGCAATGTGAAAAAGGAATAACATGCATCAGCGTCTTGAGCCATCCAAACCAACTCCTCTGTGCAATGTAAAAAGGAATAACATGCATCAGCGTCTTGAGCCATCCAAACCAACTCCAACATTTCTCTTGCTGCCATCTCTACCATATGCCAAGCTCAGATCTCCCAGAAAGCCTTACCTGTACCTGTCCTACACCCTTCCTAGCATAGCAACATTTAGCACATCCTCCTACATCCCACCGGCTAACAGGACTCTCCCACCCCAGTGCCACAGCAGGCATTTTTTCTAATCCAAGGCACTACAAATACTTCATCTGTGCTCAGATAACAGCTCCATTAGAAAAGGGACATGCCACATGTACTTCAGCTTTCCTCATTACTAGCAACAGCACAGCTCAGCTCGGGGAAGCACAAGCATGCATAGACCACTGAGGAAGCTTTCCCTGAGCAGGGCATTTTAACCACAATGTTTAAACAACAACCACATGAAGCCCTGCTATCCTGCATGGGGAAAAGACAGCTGTGAGATAGGACCTTGGACTAAAAGGGATCTATGAACAATTTAGTCTTCTCTGTCACTCACTTCCATTGGATACTGTTCTTCGATTTCTTCTCGATCAGTCCAATGCCTTCCAGGACATTTGTGATATCGTATATTCGTCGTTTCTGCCGCACCGCTAGGGTATCTGCAGCCTGCAGAAAAGTTGAAAACTTAACTCCAAACTCTCAGCCACCCCTTGCTCCCCACCTCATGCCTCTCTTGCCCCAGCACCTCAAACTACAAAGCCATGTTCTTAACATCGTTACAACAATCAGAATTAGTCACTGCCCCTTTGTTCTTTTTCTTACCCACAGACCTTCCCATTAACCACAAATCTAATTCCAGCCACCTCATTCAGGGCTGGTGCAAAAATCATTGTTCCTCAACAATAAAGCTGTGCTAGAAGACACTAGTCTGGCAGCCTAAAAATTCAGTGCTTGTTCAGTGTAAGACAGATGAGAACGGACAGGAGAAGGTAGAGAGATGCCTATACAGTTGACCACTGTTCAGTAAAGTGGATGTTTAAAAGGTCTTTTCTATCTACATCTCATGCCATTTGATAGAGAGAATCAACACCTTCTCAAAAGGCAGATTTCTTTATATGAAAGAGTCTCCACTGGGGGAAGAATAAGTACAGTTATAAGGACGCAGCTCCTGAGCAACCCTCGTGCTTCCCTGCCTTGCTCGCTGCTGTTTTGCCCCAAGGGTTCCACTACTACAGTTCTCTTCAGCTTGCTGGATACTCCAGACAATGTTGAGCCTTTCGTTTCCACTTTCATAGGGCAATTTAGCAGCACTAGGTGTTTAGCTGGCACTGTGCTGGCATGCTAGAATACTACAGATGGCATTGCACAGCCAGTCAGACACAGATGGTCAGCACAGAAATGACTTTCCTCTCTCACACATCTTCACGGTAATGGACCAGGGCATTAGAGACCCTGCACAGCACTACTGCTCAAATCACACTGACAAATATGAATCCTAGTTAATGTATATTTTGAGCAAGAAAATATTGCTCTTCTGACAAAATCCAAAGAGCTAACAATTTGCCATAGCAGAGGACTGTAGTCTACAACCAGAAGACTCCTCCCGACCCTCCATTTTTAGGGCTTTCCCACACCTGCCTGGAGCCTATGCAGGGGTTGTCAGAGTGAACTCACACACATAGCCACATAAGAGATTGGTATAAACCACACTGAAAGAACTTCATATGCAGAGGAGGCCTAGATATAAGTATTGCATATTTCATTAAGAGAGTTCCTTTCTCTAGGTGAAGATCTTGAAAATGCATGAGCAAGGTGCACTTGCAGAACACTTGTCCATAACATAAAGGCATCAGGGCACAGTCCCGGCAGAGATGAATCTGATTTCACTCTCCTTCCTGCTGTATGTTAGAAGGCCAAAATGCAGTAAGGAGCAAGTTTCTCCATTTCTGCAGCTCTCCGATGAGGCATTACAGGGATCTATCATTACAATGTCTGTGTTCAAGTAGCAGCTTTGGGAGATTGGGGCACCATGTGACAGAGCAAACATGAGGCAGAAGGCATGTTGGACTGAACAGCACCTGCACCTGGCCTTCCAAAGCCTGGCCAAGAACGTGGAAGAGAAGAAGATAGCCCAACACAGTTCAAATAGAAATACAAACGCTGAGTGATGAGAACTATTTGGAAGGAAGCTGCAGGAGGGAATATCTACACTGTGATGGTAAGTACCCGGCCACTTCTGCATGTTCTATGTGCAGTCTGGTAGCTCTGCCACATCCCCAGCTCTTCCCGGGGACTTCTCTCCTAGGTTGAGCTCTTTATCTGCCTGATGAGGAGGCCTCACCTCCCTAGACCTGCTCCACTAGAGATCGCCATTTCCACCTACGCTCTCCCCCACAAAACCTGCTTCACTCCCCGGAGGACCAGCCACCTCTGTGCTTGCCGGCGCTTAGCTCAGCCGTGCCCGCAGGAGTTCCAGCAGAACTCCTCAGCTCCCCAGCTGCGCCGGCTCCCGACTCCCAACACCGGCGGAGCTCCCCTTGATGCTGGCCCCAGTGCGGCGGGGCGGGAGAGCCCTCACCACCC